AAACATATACACGAACAAACAATATCTACAAATAATACTTTGCACGCATGCCGTAAAATGAATACTTTCATAGCAATGGATATTTTAAAATTGTCAGTAATGACATATTTGCAGCCATATCACCAATCCAGCCCTTGTCAAAGTTGAGAAGAAACTTATTTTTTAAATTGATACTTTAAAATATCAGATTTGAAATTTGACCCCTAACAAAGAAACAAAAATACACCGCGAACCACAGAATAGTTGCAGGTAAATATATGAGCATTGGCGTCGTCCACATCATACTTGAATATTAATTCACTATAATAAACTGTTTTCGAACTTTTCTGGTCTTAAGACATTTTATTTTTGCAAAGATTTGACATCAGTGATCTTGGAATAAGGTAAATATAACTCTATTTAACAAATGAATAATCTTAGGATGCTTCAAGACATATATATTTATAACGACCCTAGACATCATACAACTATATATATTTGTATCCGTAAATTGGTAGACCAAAACAGGAATATTTTAATTTTGGCCTGTTCCGGAAACCGAAATCTACATTTAACACAAACAGGTTTTCTGAGATAAAAACCCCACCGTTTCAACATTTTATCGTCTATATATATATATATATCGAATCAAATAATTGGAACTGCGTGCCACTTTGACAGCAATCATTACAGAAAAAAATCAAATGTGACAAATTGATCATGTTGGCATAACCATATCTATAAAATTAAATCGAAAAATATAAAAAGATACGAAAACAATAATCTGTAAACTGCTTTCAAAGAAGGGAAATCTGACACCTAAAGAAACAAATCTTAAACATAAGCCATATCAGGAAAATAAATAAATCGGCACTTAACTACAAAAACAGAACAAAATGAATGTCTGCCCTATAACAGGCTGCTGTAATACAAAGAGATAACTCTATAGGACAGTTCAGTACATTGTTCTTTCAGCATGTATTAGTTACCAAAGCTGACCATAATCCTCAGATATATTGACTCTGAGCCACTCACAGAACAAACAGCAACTGCAGCCATAAGACCGTCTTAAACAATCACATTATGGAAACTCTCTGTATAATATTCAAATAATTGTTGTTTCGAGGTTTGATAATCATAGTTTGAGAGTGTCCTACTAAACCATGCTACTTTGAGGGGTTGATATTCGTCAGAAGCATACACGATTTTCTAGGGAGAAGTTCTTAACATTCACATCGTTGTTGGGGAACTAAAGGTTCAGGGTAACTGTAAATCCACATATCTATGTTTTCAGTACCCATGTTTACCCCCCGAAAGGGTCCACGGAATTACAACCATCGACATGTTTATTTATATCAGGTGTGATATCGGTGTAGAGCGTCATAGATGAGTAACCCAGATAACGGGTTTTAACTGCAATTATTGTAGGGCTGCGAGTAGAGGGTCACAGGTGAGTTGTGACGACATCATTATAGTTAGGGTAGACGATCGTGTGTTCAGAAGATGTGTGTATATACAGGACAATCTGCACATATAAATGTTTATAATCGAGGGCACTCAAGCTGAAAATGTCAGAAAAGTGAATAAAATACACTGCATCACTATATGGAGTTATATTTGTTATATTGTCACTGACCAATTCAGAAACCGGTTTCGTTTAGTGGTCATTGAAAACTACCAATAGTTGAAGAAAAGGAAATATAAAATAAGGGTTAACGATGACTCGTCACCTGTTGAGTAACAATAACACATGGGCTAAACAAAAGAGAACACAGGAAGCTCAAAAAACAGCATCGGCCATCAGCAAAGATTTAAGAAATATGTTTTAATCGGAGCCTCTCGTCCTCAGAACAGACTGAAGGACCAAACAGTCGACGAGGTATTGAAAGAAAACTGTTAAAGACGAAATGGTAAACGGGTATCTTAGCTACATTGGTCTATGCAATTACATTCTTGGATCAACAAATCGGAAATTCAATCGTAATAAAAAAACGACTTCCTAACTTAGTAATAATCACAAAAAATGAGCATGCGCATGGTTCTCAAGTTTTCAGACAGTGCACGAGTCCACAAGGACAATCATCTGTATGAGTTGTCCATGAAGCTTTAATGATATGTAACCTCTTCTATATGAGACCCGATTCGTTTCGTGTGTTGCAATCTATACGACGACACCGTCATGGGTGATGAAGAGTAATCCTTGTTGATAAGAGTTTTCACTAATAAATCTCTCAAAATAATATATAATAATCACTTTTCAGCACCCTTTCGTGTAGAACACATACATGACGTCCACTTGTATATAAGAGATGTCAACAACAAACCTGCCTCAAATCCCTTACTGGAAAAGTGACATTGAGAGTAGGCTTGAAAAAATAACGTGATATAGCCATCTTACTAGTCGAATCAAGAAATATGGAGAAGATAGTGCAAGAACATATTGACGGGAAACCGACCAAAATCGTTACGAGCGTAGACAAAGCAGAAGGAGCTGCATTTCGAGAACGAATTTAAATAAGTGGTAAAAAGTTCATATAGACAGAGTGAGTTTGAAATATGCCATGACACTCCTTTTATGGGTATTTTCCGTTACGTCACATCTCATTTATACGCATCTACGCCACAGCCACGCCACAAGTCAGGTAGGGAACTCTTTGACGTCCCACGTTGTTACGGATCTATACAATGTACACTCTATAGTTTACCTTCCAAATATATTTCAAAATCCATTATATTAAGTAAGACGATAGGTTCCAAAAACTGTACAGTGAAAAAATCCAGGATGTTTTTCATATCAAATCTTGAGTTGACCTTCAAGTCTGATATTTTCACTTGGACTGAAGACACTGATTGGCAAATGCTTTTATTTTATAGACAATGAATACACGAAAACAATTTGACATCGGCGAGGTAAGTCCTGTAGTCTATGAATGTGTATGTGTTCCTCATAACGACGTGCGGACAAAGATAGCCTATATTGCTTTAAGTTACTATACACTGTCGTGTTAATGACAGTCGGTGGCTTTGTCACGACTCAGTTCGAATTACCAGTTGCAACTTTGCTTGAGGACACATCTCCGGTAATACCCACAAAGGTGCGCATCGTAGGTAAATGTTCACCCAATCCAAACCAGATGATATACTGGATATTAAACTGCTTTGAGGTAGCACCACACTGTCGTAGAAATCACCTCTGGATATCATTGCCCTTCCACTGCTTTTCACCATATGATATACTGTCAGTATGATACCTTGTAAATGTTGGTCATGCTGATACATAAAAAGACTAAACCCCTGTTGTGTAATTGGGCACGAATCAGTTTGGGGAGAAGGGTCTTCGTTACATCACAATATTATTACCATATCAATATGTCTACCGCAATTAGCCAAGCTCCCCTTTCAGTAGCATAACCATTTTGTTATGTCTTTAATTGTTGTGAAAATTCATACTCAACAGATACATATGCTGTTCACATTATTTATTATCACTCATTATTAATGGGTTATTAAATCATTATGTAAACATATTTAACGCAGGAAATTGTAAGTAACGCCTTCGAATTGATACTGTTTCTGTTAATTACGTCGTCCCTTTAAACATGTGCATAATTTGATGATATCGTATTAATCCATTTTATAAAAAGTATTATCGGATTCAATTTTTTGACTGACGCTAAAAACAGAATGTACTGTAAAATTGGAAATTATTGCGGTGTGGTTTTTGCGTTAACCTACGTGAGTTCATCTACTCGGAAAGAGCTGGAAACGAAGACAGATATAGGGTACCGTTTGTTACGACGTACACTCCGATCAATGTAAGTGAAAAAATTAAGTGTTTTATTTTGGAAACACGAAGACGTTAACTATGAAAGAAACCCAAAGCCTTAACGTCTGTTAGGTGCTATTGGATACATGTATGACTACTAGAAATGTTGTCACTAATATTAAACATGTCTTCAAAAGTGGTTTCAAAACAAAAAATAAATAATACTTCAACTGTAATATACGAACTGTAAGTTACTTATTAATATTTAAATAGCTTGCAGACATTTCTACCGTAGAAACCGGATGTGGATTAGACTACGCATAACTGTACATACTTTGTTTTTTAACATTTGTTTTGACGGCAATCAAACTCATTCAAGTAAATTTTTAAAAATACGCAATATCGTGAGAAAAAAAAAAATCGGCACTGAACTACAAAAACAGAATAAAATTGAAATGATAAAATAAAGGATCTTAAAAGCGGTGGTGATATCAAGTAAACTTAACAAAAACGTATTATTTGCGACATAACTGCCATGTGTCACTAGTTTGGCGAATTACTGCGAACGTTTTCGATGAATAGAGCACATCTATCCAGAACATCTTGCTATTAATAACAGGTTTTATTGTACGAAGTGTTATATGCTCTATAGCACACACAGTGCAATGGGTGTTACCATTCATTAAGTACCAGGAAAACTTCATGCAGTTAGCAGTTCTGAATTTGCTAATTTGCTCATTCACATCACAAATTTTAATACTTACGAAATATTGATCATATAAAAGAAGCACATCAATACTTTCGTTACTGATTGTACTTATTGGGAAATACACAATGCGAAATAGTAGTATATAACTTAAGAAAACAACAAATAGAACCAGATATAAAATATGGCAGAGCAGTTGATAAGATCAAAAAATAGATTGTATTTGATATGTGCGAATTGTAGTAATGGTTCATCTAAACTGGCAAGTATATAACTTATATGGTTTGGTGTTAGGTTTGCTCATTTGTCAGCGGAAACCTACAGAATTAGAATAACATTGGATTTTGTACACAGGTTGACGAGTTTAACAAATAATGTCGCATGACCCATTTTCATCACGCGTCAGCTATTGTAATTGATATACAACTGGCGGGTCACGGGTCTTATTGTGTCAAGGGCGTAAACACAAAGTCATATCACGTTTCACTCGATATCGTGCGAGCTGTACAGAACATAAAATAAGGCTCTTGACTACCTTTGTACCTTTTCGGAATTACCTGACTAGGCAACCTACACCAGCAATGTTGTGTGTATTAAAATCTCTAATACAGATAGTCATACCTGAGTATTTTCAGGATATCGGTTGTTTTATTAACGAAACCGCTATGTTTCATGGTGAAATATAATTCATTCATCAAGAAATCAAGAAAAGTATGCTAATAACATCTCATATAAATATATGATCTCTCATAAACAGACAATCATAATAATACTCGCTCTCTGAAAGGTCAGTTGAAAGTAAAAGTAATATAACTTTGATTTTTGTTACAAGACTAATTAAAATAATTACCCGAAAATTGGTAACACATCTGGGTACCCTCGTCCAAATTAAAGGAAAAAGCAGCCTTCCTTTTTGCATATTATAGCAGGAAGCTAAACATGCCTCCACCTACTCAATGAAGAATCGGGGATTTTCTTTTGTGTTTTCTGCTTGGGGAACTTTAAAACAAAGCAATAAAAAACAAAACAAAAACAAAAAAACAGTAGTCGTTTGTTGTTGCTAGGACAGTAAACAATATTACTTTTGTATATCTTATTTAATAAATACAACATAATATGACATCAAATATGAATTTATGAACTTTACTTAATTATCATAATACTGAAAATTAATGAACAATGATAATGTCAGTGTTTCTGATATCACTTATTGCACGGTTTCTTTCCCTTTAAGTCGAATGAAAAGTGACACTCGGGTACCAGTAATATCATTCAATCAGCTACGTGAGCATAGTAGATGAGTCATAATATGGGACAACGGCGTAAGCTGTTACTAATAATAGCAATGTGGAGCATGCCAAGGATTCGTAGAAAAAACAACCAGGAACATAATTAGGTACACGTAACGACACCTAGACATTACAGGACAGAGCAGACCTCAAAAGACGGGTGTTTGTCATTAGTCAAGGTACGTATCTGTTCTGATCAATTGAAATGACATATCCGATCACTTGTTTTTTATTTTTTTATTTTGAAGTGTGTACGTAAAGAAAAACGTATAAGATATATAATGCTACTGCTGGACAGTACGTTCCGCTGTAGACCTCATTTTTAAACATTATATGGAGGCGTCGACAGCTCCCTTCATACTGGTACGAAAGAACTAGCATTTTCTCTAATATTTAGCTCCTTATCTAAACCTCATTCTGATGAATCTCCCAAAAAGGACAAAGATCAGCAACGCGTAAAATGCTGCATGTAAAGTGGTATATGTAAATACCGCATGTTGGGGTCATATTCAAATGAGCCAGGGTTCAATTCTGGAAATGAGTAATGCGAAGGTGAGGTTTCCACTTTAATTTCTCGTCAATATTAGAAAGGTCCTGTTCACATCATTATAAAGACTGGGACATACATTTGATATAAAATATTTCCTGCTTTCATGTCTTTATAATGTTTGTCAAGATCATTTAAGTAGGTATTTACGGGACGACCGACAAAACATTCTCTTATATTTATGCGTCATGAATATATTAATAGCAATAAGGGTAATATGTTGATTCGTGGAAAAAGAATATTTTTACATTCAAGTATATAGAAAGCAAAATGTCAATAGAGCTATATAGTGTTTGAAACAGATCTGCAGGTGTGTATTTATACTATGACAGCATTTCATCTAAATAACTAGCGTCGATAACGCTGTTTATTGCATATAAAGAATACGGTTTAAACCTGTGACAACGGACAAAACATTATCTTATAAGTATACGTCATGCATTTATTAATAGTAATGTAGGTAATACGTTGATTCATGGAGGAAATAAGATTTTTACATTTAAGTATATTGAAAGCAAAAAGGCAAAAGAGGTAGTGTTTGAAACATATCTTCAGTTATGCCTGATTATTATGATATCATTTCATTTACATGACTGGTGTCGATAGGACTGTTTCAGTGTATATTAAATATACGGTTCCACCTTGTGACGGCGTGTGTCATTATTCTACACTTTGGTAAGTCAAAACAAGTTTGCATATCGTGTAGTTATTAAGAGTTATGACTGTTGAGGACAGGACTGCTTTAAGTGTTTATAAAGTGTAAGGTTCAAGTCTGTGAAGGCTGATATCATTACTTTATACATTGGGAAGACACAAAAAGGTTTGCATGTGGTATACTTAATAGAGCTAATCAAATAATGATCTACATTGCATGTAAGTCTCATACGTGATCGCGAGTTCTAAGGAGAATTGATTAAGGATTATAATTGGTTAAAACATGAATAATTAGATAAAAAGAAAAAGTATGATGCTTGTATCGCAAAAAATAGCAAAATATAGAGGACTGTAGCTAAATATATATAAATGTGTTTATCATTTAGGATCAATATCATGGTGCCCAACATCGTACCATCTTCAAATAATTTGTGTCAGTTCAATATTTGTTCATGTGATCGGTCCAAAAGATTAATATGCATACCTATATACCATGGGGAACCTTCATGTGCAATTTGAGAACATTCCCTCTAGTACCTTCTGAGAAATAACGCTTACAAACTTTAACTCTTAAAATTCAAGATGGTTGACCGTCGGCCATCTTCGTTTGGTGATCAATCCCAAGATTCGAAATGCATAACTAAGAACGTATAACGACCCTAGGCCTCATAGAGCTATATAGATTTGTATATGTAAATTGGTTAACCAAAACAGCACATTTGAACTTTTGACCCCTACCGAAAACAGACGTTTACATTAAACACAAACAAACAAGAGATACCAGACGGATCTTGGCGCCCACCATCGTGCTTTCTTCAAAAGGTTCTATGTCAGTGCAATCGTTCCTCTTCTTTTCTCTTATCTGTTTAATTAGTTAACCTGACAGGCATCTTGTTTCACTGATCAGTCGTATAAGTTAACATGTAGCACTAAGGACTAAGGGAAACTACATATCAAAGATCCCTTTGGTACGTTCTTAGAAATGGAGGTAACAAAATGTATTTCTCAAATTAAAGATGGCTGTCTGTCGGCCATTGTGATCATGTGATCAGTCCCAAAAGTTGATATGCATACATATGTACCATGGGGAACATCCATGTGAAATTATATAATATTCCCTATGGTACTTTCTGAGATATAGCGCTAACAAACTTTAACTCTTAAATTCAAGGTGGTTGACTGTATGTAACTCTCCTTTTGAAGCTCCATTATATTTCGCTTACTGTATTGAATTCCATGAAAAATGAGTTTAATGATTACAGACATGCTAGCAATTAAAATAATATCAATGGGGCAAGTACATTAATAGTTTTTCATCGGATCTGTTGCACTTATGACATCAAATATCGGGGTACCCCCTAATTTTCAGGGAAAACACCAATATAAACCCTTACTGCTTTTTCTTTACACACTTTAAAATAATAATATCGGTTTCTGAAGTGGTTTCGTCTGAAATATTGCAAAGTTAGAATAAAGTCTATGCCTGGGTCATTTAAGAATCACACATTTGTATCTTGTGACTCAAATGTTTTAAAGCAATAATATGTTGCCTGTCATTGACACCCTGTATTTTGAGTGAGAATTATAATTTCAACCAATTAAAGACAAGTTAGAAACACATGTTTCGCATGGTAGTTTGTATTCAGTGTTTTGATTGGTTAAGTCAGCAAAAGTGTTTGATTTTCACTTGTGAAAAATATCACTATTCAACTGGTAAACATGTAATACAAGTTACATATGTTTCATTTTGTGTCTCCAATAGTTAATGTATGGGAGAATGAAGAAACAAACACACTCTCGGGTATACCCGTATTGTCACAACTGATCCCGTAAGTTTTAAGCATAACATATCTTGCTTATGATATTAGCAATCAATCTTTTTAAAAAAAAAAAAAAAAAAAGATTTATCAGTTCAAAAAAAGTATAGTACATTATATGAGCGACTGCACTCTGTTAAGAATAATGACGAAACTGTTAAAATCGCTTTTACTTAATATCTCTTCTGTAGTCTTCCCCTTCGACAACACAAATTCGTCTTTACTACTTCTATTGCTGCAGTATAATGCATCCGTTTGAATACACCTCTTTAAGAAATAAATAAGACTATGTTTTGAAATTATACTATAAATATCATCTGTCATCTGGAAAGACGAATCAATCTTTATAAGATTGATGTGTATAGTCCTTTATAATATTTGTCAATTGTTTTTTTAAACAAGCGGATTAACCCCCCCCCCCCCTCCCCCTCTCTTCCCTGAAAAATATATTTCTTTTATCTATTTAGATTTATGTGGACACATGTATTTATCCTTTTTGTCAAAAGCACATGTGAGGGGTTATCTGCCGCTGACCAAGGTAGGCTGGTAGGTGTACGAGCTCCTTCAAATATTTCTGAAACAGAAGGATATCCCGTCTTTGCGTATTGCAGAGTTATCTTCTCTTGTGAGCAGGTATTGGTTGTTACGTCATTCGTTTGTGAGAGTTGCGTCAAATTTTGAGACAACGACGTAATTTTCTCACACACCCCATTGACGTAACAATCAGTACCTGCTCACAAGAGAAGATACCTCTGCAATGCACAAAGACGGAATACACGGTTTGTAGTGAAGATACTAGATCTGTATGCTTTTTTGTTGATATTCTCTGTAAATTTTGAGAAAAAGTAAGAACAGTGTGCTAGACCAGAAGAATGAATTAAAATGTGAATATGAAAGAAAGAAAGAACGATTATATAAATAATAATTGATCGGTTTTACTGGTTTTTGCATTGATTAATTAAAAGAAAATAATTAAAAAAAACACATGGTCAATTATGATGGTTCTTTTGTCAAATATGTGCTTAGCTTTTACGATAATTGTTTGTCCTCTTACTAACTCTTGCAGTTTCTCCTAATACTCACAAACATACAGGGTAAACGCATATACAGTTTTTATTTTACGTTTGTTGGCAGCGACTGATTTGGTTTCATTGGGTTTAACGTCCTATTAACAGCTAAGGTAATTTAAGGACATGCCTCAAAGTGTATTTTGTATGCATGCTTGAGTGTTTGCGTTCTGGAGACATGATATGCTGGTGTAATTGCCTCCTTGTAGTAGCGCAAAGCTGATGCAGACTGTATAGTGCAATCTTACTGAAATACAATGCCGAAGGCACCCAGCATAGCATTCCGCCCGGTCAAATTATACTGATAACAGGTGAACCAGTTTTTGCCAGTAATGTTGAACATTAAGCAGGGCATACCAACAACCATTTTAAAGGGCATTGGTAGATACCGGCCTTGGGACAGAACCCATTGCATTTCTCAACTGGGCAAACGTTCAACAGTAAAGCAAACAGTTAGGAAATGGAAGGTAGTTAAAAGTGTAGAGAAATTTAATAGAAAGATCCCTTATATTGCAATGGGTGCAATAGATTTATGTTGGTCGTGTTTGTGTCCCCAAGTAGACAAAAGCAAATCCCCAATTATGCAGGGGGTTCCCACAAGAATCGCTTCTTACGATACCGGCAGTGGGTAACAGCAGGAGTATTCTTTTTCGATCCCCCACTTGCAGGCAGCAAAGGAACTTGGATTATATCTATGTCTACAAGCGTGGCAAATCTGTACAAGTTTGTACACACTAGCAATCAATGTATGATCTATTTCGGTAATGGACCCTTCACAAATAGTTTTAACAATTACAGATAATAGACGTGTTATTTCAAAACACTGTACGGTTGACGATTTTAAAATCGTACTTCGGTCTTCTGCTCTGCATTTTTTTAAATGAAGAGTGAATCTAACGTTACGTTCAGTGGCTAAACATAACATAATTTTCCTGGGTGACCAGCCTGCTGGAACGGGACATGTAATGGTATAGCTTATTTTAAGAGACAAGTGTCTGTAAGCTTAACTTTAAGAAAAACATGTCTGCATTCTACAATATTAATACTTAGTGTTTGGTTTTTACATGCAGAAATCGCGTTTATTTCAGAAACAATCTTTATATTTGAATAATTTTTTAAATAGTCCCATTTATTATTGCATCAAATCAATTGTTAAGATAACAGGAAAAAAATAACCGGTGTAAGAATGTATTACACATTTCCTGGCATGTCCTTCAATATGTAGAAGTCCACCTAGTATCACTGTATGACAGGTGACTGCTCACTGTCAGAGTTAAAGGGATTACCTGTTGCATGGTTAATTATGCACGCCTTGTTTGATCAATGGATGATACAGTAGTAAATAACAAGGTGTTTATTTCCCGACGTTTCAAAGGTCTGGTATTATAGAATTAGCCGCGTAAAGCGTTGTCTGTGTAAGATGTTTACCGATTAACAAGCCACAGGTTACACATGGTATACATTCACAACAATTGCATATATTTTGGTTGACAATTGGCTATTGCTGGAAATTCAGTAAACACTTTTCAATTTAAGAAAGCCTCCGCATGCAAAAAACAAATAAAAAGTTGACATGCTTTAACAATGTCATTCCAGTGTTCTTTTGTAGAAAGGAATTTTTGTTTGGCACATGCGGAGGCTTTCATGTATGTATGCTAACTGTCCAGAAACACCATATGTTTTCTGCAAAGCAACGCAATTTCGTTGTTATGGTAGGGCATCTACGAATGCGCACTAGAAAAAAAGCTGCATCAATAACATTCTTCACAGCTGTCAGAACTTAGTCAAAATATGTTGACACATTTTACGCACGGAACTATCAAGATAGTCAAGATTGTTTTTTCAACAAGAGAATTCTTATGTCAGTAAGCTACGGGTTTGATATCACTGCGATATGCCTTGGGGACTTTTAGAAATAAAAAATATATTTATCAAGTGGATAATGGTTATTTAGACACTCTTGATGACACTTTTGTTTATGGTTCAGTCAATAGAAGAGAAACGAACACAAACCATTCAGTATGAATCTAGTAAAAATGCAAACAAAATGAGACCATATATGTCTAAATACTAGAAATGTAAGTATCCAAATAAAGTTGAATATCTGCTCCTACCTACATGGATTGTAACATACTATTTAATATGACGGATACGGGAGCATGTGCGACGATGCTTGTTTGTCTGGTACAGACGTTATCCCACAAATGCTTTGTGTGAACATATGAAATGACAGAAAAAGCAACAACAATGATAAGTTATTTTGCAGTCAACTGACAAAGCATTTACACAATGTAGGTCACGTGCCTTTATATATCAAGGGCGCACAGAAAGCCATATCGCGTGACATATGTAATCGTGCAAGGCGTCCAGACGTACAGAACCTAAAATACATGTAAGACACTAGACTACACTTGTACTATACAATCACACGGAATGTTAATAGACTGGGCTACCTTCAAACAGTATTGTGTGTATTATAACATATAATGTGCATTAAGTAAACACCAATATATTTGAGTATGCGTGGTTTTATAAATGACCAACCGTTATGTTTCCTGAGTGAAATATAACTGGTATTTTTCAAGAAATCAAGATTATTACGCTAATATCCTTTTTTTTATAAATACACGAACGACAATAAACAGATAAGCCATCGCTTGTCATATATGTTAAGACATAGGACTGCCCTGTTTGGTTATACACTAATCTTCGCTCTCTAAATGGTCAGAATAAATGAATAGAATAATAAGAGAATAATTAGTAGACATCGTTTTATCTCAATAGTAAAAATGTGATAAAGGTGTTGTAATGTGTGATGTGTTGCTCAATATGACATTTCTTTTGTTAATTTATCTGTTGTTTTAATGTATGCATTTTGTCCAAAAGGCATCTTGCTGTCCTCCTGTTTTTAATGGATTTATAATTTGTATATAAGTTAATAACAAAGACATTTGATCGTGTCTAAGTTGAAAACTTGCTTACACTTATAACTTTAAAATATGAGAGGGAGACACACGTTTTTTTCTTTGCGTCTAATATTCCAGATTGATGGAAAGAATAATCCTCCTGTATACTACTACATATTATAGTTAGAAGCAAACTATGCCTTATCCAACTCGGGGCATACACTGGGATTGCCTTTTGTGTGTTCTGCATGTAGGTGTGTGTTATTGTGAGGACGGTAAACATAACAATAATACTTGTTCTTAGTATAATGTATAAATACAACATAATACAAAATAAAGTATAGGTTTATGAACTTCACGCCATTATCATAATACTAAAATACCTTGAAGACTTAAAAAATGTCCTTAGATGGTGGGCGTTACCCAGCAGCTGATGCTATCGTGCTAAATGAAAGGGCTTGGGACCGAGATAGCTGTAAAGAATAGAGTTCGGTTTGGGTTGATCTTTTGTAAATCGCATCGCGTGGGGTTTAGACAGAACCCCATGAAGTATAAAGTTCGAGAGATAGCTTCGATTTTCAATTCATTTATTTTGAAATGCTTCTTCATAATCATGCTTGTGTATATACTTGTATATACAGCTGTACTAAGATAGTATCAACAATAAGGTGATTATGTATCCTTACAGTGTGATTTTGTCATGAAGGACTATTTTCTAAAAATCTGAAGCTTGTTTTTGCCAAACTAACGGTAATGTTAGCGTTCCTAGTACCCTTACATACACAAATTGCACGCCATCTCCCTCTTTTCATCGAGTAAAACTTAACAGTGCTGCTCGGGGTACATATAATGTTAGCCAACGGGCTATTTGACTAAAAGCCTCTTGTTTTATATATGTTAGACAAATAACGCATGCTTATAGCGATCCCAATATCATATCAGGTTCTGTGTATAAAGGGCTCTCATTATGGGAAAACGGGGTTAGCTCTTACTAAGTATAGATGTATTGACCATGCCACACGATTCGTTGAAAAACAGCCAGGAACATAATTAGGTACACGTTACTGAACCTAGACATTACAGGACAGAGCAGACCTCAAAGGACTGGTGTTTGCCATTAATCAAGGTACATTACATCTCTGATAAATCTGATATGTCAGATCACTTGGTTTTGTAATTGAAGTTTTTACGTAAAGAAATACCTTTATGATAATATAATGCTACTGCTGAACAGTAAGTCCCGCCTTTATACCTCGTTTTTAAACACTGTGTGTTGGTGTCGTCAGCTACCTTTATACCAGTAAGAAAGAACTATCATATTCTCTAATATGTTGAATATAAAGTTTCCCTCACACTGGTGAATCCTCCAAATAGGTCAAAGATCAGCAACGCGTAACATGCTACATGAAATCGGGCGTGCGTAACTGCTCTTTTCTGGGGTCATATTCAAACGGTAATGGTTCAATTATGGAAGTAAGTAATATGGAGTTCAATTGCCCTTTTTATCACCTCGTAAATGGGGAAGATCCTTTTTACATCCTTATATAGATAAGTACAAAAATTCCCTCCATGTCGTTATAATATTAGTCAGGACCATTTGAGTAGGTTATTTACGGGACAACGGACAAAACATTATCTTATAATTATGCGTCATTTACTTAGGAAAAGCAATGTGGGTAATATATTCAAACATAGAGGAAACAAAATGTCTACAGAGCTAGTGTTTGAAAAAGGTCAACAGGTATGGATTACTATTATGACAGCATTTCATTTAAATGACTGATGTCGATAATACTGTTTTAGTGTATATTATGTATACGGTTCCACTTTGTGAAGGCTTGTGTCATTACCTTATACTTAGATAAGTAAACAAAAGTTTGCATATGGTGTAATTATTGCGTGTTATGACAGGACTGCTTTAAGTGTATATCAAGTGTACAGTTCAATTGTGTGAAGGCTGATATCATTACGTGAGAGGTCATCAAACCATGATCAGCATTGCATGCAATTACTATAAGACCTTCTTCTAAACACATCAAGGAGATTTGATCAAGGACTGTATGTGTTGATACTTAAACAATAATGCAAACATGTATCGTTAAACAGCAAAATATATAGCAATGTAACTAATTATACATCAATGTGTTGATAACCGCATCAAAAGGACATGATCTCGAATCATCTATAGTACAGAAATGTGTACTACAGGGTGAGCCGGGTTATGTTCATACGACCAGAGATATAAAACAGTTTTGTACAAAATGTTTAAGTCGCTATAGTCAGGCTGTATATCTTGTTCTGATAAAAACTCCTCTAGATCTAAGGAGAGTTCGAATTGTGGTTATCAAGAAAGTCAAAACATTACTTGGGTTTTAGTGCATAACTCATATATTACAAATCGATGCGTTAACTTGACTGTATCTCAATAATAATATATGATTAGTTAATCGCTGATGCGTGAAAAGGGACAATACTATTGACAGTTATGATTCTATATTATGAATTGATACAATGGACCCTTAATTTTCACATCAAACCGTGCCATTGGTATCAAGTACATAGTACAGTGTATTGGTAATTCATGTGTATGAATCTTGTTTTTTTCATGTACTTTTAGGTGTTATTTTAAGTTGTGGCAGCGAAAGTCAAACCATCTCAAGAAGTTCTACACTAGTTTCATCTCGATATCGCGAAGAAACCAGGACAATTATCTTCGGTTCACTTCAAAAATGGCGTACCTTTTCGGAACTATGTGTATATAATAGATATCCTCTCCAATTCGGACCATGGAGACGTTGCAAACAGAGAAGACTGTTTTATGGAATTGAAGAAGAAATATAGGATTCAGTAAGGTTAGTAAAGAGCAATTTTTGAATTCTTAATAATAATGATAATAATTATACGAGGTTCTTATATACCCCTTTATCTCAACCTAGTTCATCGATCTTTTCAAAGCAGTTCACAAATTATTATCCGTGATTATAGGGTCTTTGCAACCAGCAAATATCTTTTTCGACTCCATGAAGACCATACAGCCGGAGCTGATATTTCGGCGCTAATAGCTAGCATTCAATAATTCTAGCACTGCCCAACCACGTACTCATTTACAGCTGAGTTTATTGGAACAAGTGGAGTACAGTATCTTGCTCAAATATTCAACACAGTGCCATGCCGTAACTCGATTCCGCAACCCATCGGTCACGAGCTCGGCGTCCTACCACTAGACTTCCGTGCCTCTAATTCTTACTTTGAGATTAGTGAAACTCTTCATAACCAAGTCGTTGTCGCTAAACTAATAATTACACAGGGCTTATACATGAACATGCAATAAATAGATTTACATATAATACTTACTATATGGATTAACATCATAGAAAAAAGAGCACAGCATGCGTTGTTACAAAACTCATATTGGAAACAATTCCTTTGAATAACAATGTAGGTAGATCAAGTCTAAATACTTTACCTATAGGTATACTCCCGTCAGTAATTAATACTTTTAAAATAGTTCATTTTAAAGAAAAAAATATTACTTTCAATTGTTTCCTATCCATTTGGACGGGCTTTTTACAATCGGATATGATTTGCATTTGACATATGAAAACAAATCTTGTAACCTGATGGTTTTTACCCCCTGCCCCAATCCCATTCGATGACAAAGGAAAAGGAAACTTCACTATTGAAGTAATATAATATACATTAATTAAAACATTTAAAGTTTTTTATTTGACCTATATGAACGTCCAAGTAGGTCAATGTCTAAAGAAGTTTGATAGCCTGTATTTCATTCATAGTACTGGTTAAATGGTATTACCCCAGACGTAATGAGTACAAGAAAGAATTTTGTTAATAGTTGCCTCGTTTATCGTTTAATATATAGCAAAGAGTGGACAGACTGAGAGAAAGGTCAAATTGTTTAAACAAGTTATATTCAATTAAACTTGAGATAAACAAAATACCATGCACCTAGGCCTTTTACTTATTTAGGAATTGTGGCCGTGAACATTGATAAAGGTTTTATCGTGAACATAAGAAGAAAACCAGGAAATCATAGTTCTTATTTAAGCAACTAACATGTCAAATCAACTCCCTATGCCTTTGTGTTATTCAGAAAAAAAAAGTATTAAAGCATTTAAATTCCTAGAGAACTGCAAAAATTCAAAACAAAAACAGAAACAAAATATAAAGCAAAATAAAAAGAAACGAATACGGTTTTTAACCTCACTTTTGAAATCACGTTTAAAAGAACAAGGTCATTCGTTTGGACAAAGTATAAAGCCAAACAAAATTCCCCTAGGCTTATTGGTTATCTACAAAATGTGGTTTCAATATTTTCACATAATTGATCCATATGACCTCAGATAAATTGAACGTCATTCATTTAAATATACTTGGTAGGTAATCATCACAGCATATAACAAATCAAATTCCAAGAATCAAGGCCTCTTAGAACTCGAGAAGAAACTTGTTTTTAAAGCTGTTAATATGAAATAGCTAATTTGCAAATTGACTCCTACCAATAACCAAAAGGTAATCGCTAATAACGAAATAGTTTCAGGAAAATATAAGAGCATTGACGTCGTCCACATCATACCAGAACGCAAAGTCACTATCTTAAACTGTTTACGAACTGATCTGAAAACATTTTAGTTTTGCAAACATTTGACATCAGTGATCTTGGAATTAAGTAATTATTACTTTATTTCAACAATTTAAGTATTCCTTGGATGCTTCAAGTGAAAATCATTTATACCTAGACCTTCAAGAACTTTATCAATTTGTTTACCTAAAACCGAAATTAACATTAAACGCAAAAATGCTTTCTGAGAAAAAATGAACACAGGTTTAACATATTATCGGCTTTATGCATACGTCGAATGAAATATTAAAATTGCGTGCCATATTAACGGCAATCATTACAGAAAAAATCAGAGATGTCAAATTGCNCCCCCCGCCAAAACAAAAATTTGAAAATCAGTGGCCGACTTCGTTTCTTAAACATGTAAATAAACGAACAATACCTACAAATTATGCTTTGCACTCATACTGTAAAATGCAAACTTTTTGAGTTATGGCCGTTTTAATATTATCAGGTTTTACGTTATTGCAGCCATATTTGTATCGACTGATTCTTTAATATACCTGAATCACATATTCTATAAAGCAAATGATTAAGAAGCCTCGAAGGCCTAGCAGAAGGATATGAATGAATATAGTAAATGTAACAAAAACGAAAAAAAGTATTTTCAACGTGTCTTCAACATCATTTTTAAATGTAAGAATACTAATATTTTTTTTGTTTGTTCTACCATTTGGTGATGACATCGAATTTGTAAGATTTAGTTTCTTATCCATCAGTATGTGTGTGTCAACATTTCTGTGTCTTTTGATTTCTTTATTCGTTTAAGATTACCATTAATGTATATTAAATGTTGAATTTTCTTAGCAAATGAAATATATATTTATGTAAGTGAATTGTATTGCTGCTCTCTATGTATGAAGATATGGATAAATTAACAAGCTAACAAGTTTTTGTTTTACTTTATTGTTTTCAAATACTTTTTTATTATGTAACTCTATGTTTTAAAAAAGGAATGCGTTCCTTGCTTATCATTGAAATCCTGTATGATCTATGGGTAACTATATAATATTGGTTTCTATAAATAAAGAAATGAAGTTACAAATAGTGTCTTCAAAAAATATTGTTCTCCTTAGAACATTTTCCGTTAACAAATCGCATATCCTTTATGGAGTACACTTCGGACATATCAACATAAGTGTTCACACTAAAAGGTCTAATATACTTTTTTGTTTACCTTTCGGAGTTTAAGTCCGGATGGTTATAGTATATATGAAGCGATCTTCTGTTTGAAAAATATCCATCCTAAAGTCACAACATTATGTTTTACTACTAATTATGATTCAAAGTGATTTTTCATTTCTCAGTAAAATGAGTCTATAACGTGACAATTATGCACACTAGACTCTATCACTGTCTGATCAATTACCGTACATAACCCCGTTGTGGCGAAACGGTTGAACGCGCCCTTTAAAAATAGTTTTCCTTTGAAAATAGAATATAATGAATTGTTAAGCTGACAGAAATAAAAAGAACCGATGTAAGAATGCAATACAAACTTCGAATCATCTTGTTGAATGTCACCAAAGGTCACGGTAAGGCAGACGACTGTTCAATTTCAATTTATTCTACAATACAAAAGCTTCCCTACGTGTCAGGTTTTATGGCATTCTAAATTAGATGTTAACTGATTAACACGCCACATGTTAAAATACCTGCCTGAAATGTGTTCATTTAATTAACTCTTGTTAAAAGATTGCATCCTTTGTAAATAAGGAACAGTGAAACATACGATCAGGCCAATAAGCATAAGTACATGATTAGGTGCTTTACATACTAGCTTACCGGTAGTTCGCAGCTCTTACTAAGATCGACTCTATTTTTACAAGTATACTAGCGGAACACAGACACTGTGCATGCGGAGAACTGTTATAGAACATGTATTAACAACTGTATATATATGAAAATCCACACACATGACCGAGTATGACACATACACACTATCCGTGTGTCATTGACAGTTTTTCCCGTGAGTTTTCCTCTCTATAGGCGTTGACCAGTGTGCACTTTTTTCTCGTCCAGCCATCCAATTCGACAATGAAAGTTTATTTTTCAACTGTTGGGTCACTCTGTTGAGACCAGTGATCAGTAAAAACAACATTATAACGTTTTAATTTGTGATTAATGCTATGCCAATGCTCAATGAAAATGATCACCTCCGGATTATTGGTATGCTTCAAACTGGTATGGGCCAAGCCGTTGTCTCTACACGTTTTCATGTCCATCGAAACACAATCCGGGATTTGTGTAGACGACATCAACAGTTTGGCCACGTCGGCGATCGCTCTCGTGCGGGACGTCCACGTGTGACATCATGTCAACAGGACAACCATATTCATATTGCGTTAACGAGCTATCCGTCCGCGACGTCCTGCAATCCGCCCAGTTCTTCTGCCACGTCATCGTGTATCACATCTGGACTGGTGCAAAAGGCATCTGCGATTTACTCGACGGGATAGGGCAGGCATTTTGTTTACGGACGAGTCGCGACTCCACCTGGATAGTAGTGACGGCCGTTCCAGAGTGTATCGTCGCGTTGGAGAACGTGTCCGTGACGCGAGTGTGGTACAACGACGTTCTTTCGGCGGAGGCAGCGTTATGATTTGGGGCGGCATCACAGCCAACGGGAGAACGCCTCTGGTGGTTGCTAACGGGAATTTGAACGCGCTACGTTATCGTGACGAATTCCTCCGAACCCACGTCGTTCCATTCGTGCAAGGGCAGCAACGTCACATTACGCTACAGCAGGACAACGCCAGGCCACACACAGCGCGTGTCGCTATGGACTTTCTGGCCCAGCAGAACGTTGACGTTGTCGCCCATTGAGCACGTCTGTGATGAAATGAAGCGCAGATTACGGGCATTACCTAATCAACCGGTGACGTTGGCTGATTTGGCTGCAGCGTTGGTACATATCTGGAATGCCACCCCACAAGCATTATTGAACCGTCTGATAGGCTCCATGCGTCGACGTTGCCAGGCTTGCATTCAGGCAAACGGTGGACATACGAGGTATTAAAGTTGTAAACCCAGTATTGACCCATGCTGTGTGTACGTCACTCCTGAGCGGAACTTATTGATTACATAACGTGGAAAATGGAATGTAACTGTTAATAAATAACAAATAAATTGTCCCTGAAGACCTTGTTGTTCTACGTCATACACATTTATTTGTATAACACATTTTAGGCATGCACAGGTTTTTTTTTCTGCTAGTATATAAATGGTGTTCTACACGTGCAAATAATTGATAATCTCACATTACTTTCTGTCCAAAACAATAATGTTGAAATCCTTCTCCATACGGACTAAGAATATTAAACAACAAAGCAGAGAGTGAGGTTCAATGAAGGAGAATGAGCTGTTAATTTACCCCTTTTAATGAGGATAAAACCGAATTTGATCTTGCCATTTGTTTGATATGTGAGTTCAGTATTGTATATATGGATAATGTGGCGCCTTTGAGAAAAAGGGTTGATTCATTGAGGTTGACAGTTTTAATTGATGTAAATTCTGTATTCTTTGACGACAGATAATAGATATTGAATAATGGAATTATTGTAAAATTAAATTGCCAACGACCAAATATCTTAAATAATGGTTTAAAATTGTACTTCAAACAAAAACTACAGAAACAATATAGACTGTCAATTTCTTTATAAACACAGGAAAATATAATCAGCTCAGGAGTTTTGCTCCTATGTACTAAAGAAATGGCCGAAATCCCAATATTGAATCTACGCATAATATTGATAAATATTACGAAATAAATCAAACCATTTCGTTAGAAACATACGGCTTTGCCCTTCGAGACTTAGTTCCTGGTTCATAAGATTAAACAATATCTCCAGTTTGTTACCATTTACACTATAACTCTACTAAAGAAGACAATTACACTTAAGCTACCAAATTTGCTAGGTACAGTACTAAAAGACAATATACTCGTGCTACTAGGATTTGAATTTGATTATTGTAATTGTATAAGGGAAGGATATGTTTTCGACGAGGCTGATGAAGAACGCCAAAACAAGAGTTATTGAATCTTAAATCTATAAAAGACTACTCCTCGTGTCTGGTTAATTGTTTTAACCAAATCTGTCATGAAGCATCTTTCGGGCGTTACCAAACAGCTAGGTGAAAGGTTTTGTGCACAAGATAACTGAAATTGTCCCTCATAAAATGTTTGTAAACCTGTTTATACAGCTGTGCCAAAAGAGTGTTAGGAACAATGTGAACTAAATAAACATCCTTACAGTGTGGATTGTTTCATCAAGGAATATGCATTATACCTGTTTTACTTGCATTTGTGTAAATTAATGATAATGTCAGTGTTTCTGATATCACAAACATACACAAATTGCACGGTGCCTCTATATTTAAGTTGACTGAAAAACAACAGTGATATTCGCGTAATGTTAGCCAACTATGTTAGAGACTATAAACATCCTTTTATCTTTGTGTTACCGAGAACGTATCTGTATAGCAATCCCAGTATTATGTCAAGTCATGTGTATAAAGGTGTCTCATTATTGGGCAACAGGGTAAAAACTGTTACTAATGATAGCAGTGTGGAGAATGCTAAACGAATCGTTGAAAAAAAAAACAGGAACATAATTAGGTACACGTACTGGTGTTTGTAATTTAACAAGGTACGTAACTTTTCTCATACATTGAAACGACATATTAGATGACACATAGTCTTCGATATTTTTTTAAGTTAATATGTCCATAAATATTTATAATATATATAATGCCAATGCAGGACAGTTAATCCCACGTGCAAACATCAGCGTATGCAGGATTCCTCAGCTCCCTTCATACTGGTACGAAGTAAATATCATCCTCTCAAAAATGTTGCTCCTAATCTTAACCTCACTTTAGCGAATCCCCAAAATAGGTCAAAGATCAGCTACGCGTAACATACTACGTGTAATGACGTCTGACTACTGCTTTTGGGGTCATATTCAAATGTGCCAGGGTTCAGTTATACTAGTGAGTAATGTGGAGGTTAGTCTTCCTCTTTTATATCTTCTAATTACGTTCTTTTTCAACCCGATAAAGACTTGAGCATAATTTAGATCTTGACATCATGATGCTTTCATGCCGTTAAAAAGTCAGTCAGAATCATTTTATTATGTAATTCGTTGGACAACGGAACATTCTGTTAATATATATGAAACATTTGTGGAAAAACAATCAGTTAAAAAGCAAGCATGTCGGAAACAAAAAAAAAATCGAAGAGCTTTTACTTGAAACAGGTCTTTACGTATTTATTGCTATTGTAATAGCTTTCCTGTTGAATGAATGGTGTCGATAAGACAGTTTTCAGTGTATTCAATGTGTACGGTTCAACCGTGTGAAGGAAAATGTCATTACTTTACACTTAGGTAAGCCAAGGAAAACGTGTGGCCATGGTGTAGTTATTAATCGAACCGTGATCGACATTATTAACAAATACATTATTACACCCTTCTACACATAAGTAATTACATAGAAAGAAAAGGAGGGTTGTACATGTGAGCCTCCATCGATACGTTATTTATACATTTTGAAGATACTTACCTTAGGGTTATGCCATCGTGATATGACATGAAATTAAGGCCATTCCGATATATGCGAGGGTAAAGTGGGGACTAATATCATAAATGACCTCTTTTAAACAAAACTATATAATTATTATGATCTGAAATTTTCTTCATCATTTGTATGCATTATATAACACACTGAAGCTGGAAAAACAACATAAACCGAAAAATATAGTACATAGTCGATAATTAGGTCATTGTGACCATGTTCCATATTAATTTAATCATATGTGCTCTCCAATCGTGCCTAAATTCACACTAAAACCGAACAATAATCTTACAATCAAAAAGGATCTAAACCAAATATCATGCTCATTACAATATTTAGCGTTTTTGCACTTTTGATAGATATTTTGGCTAACATAATGGAATATATTACCAGCCCTGACACACACCCTACACACTAATATTAGCGGGTGTCCTTTTATCTGATATTAGAATGTATAATATGTTTGTTTTATAGTCCAGCTTTAGTTCAGTCCTATAATAGTATTATATGTACTGTACATGTAAGACATCTTTAAATACTACAAAATGACATGTGTCCTTTCGCACAGTAAACAGTAGTTAGCTAGGAAGCAAGCAATTAACTATCTTAGTATCTGAGATTCTACGATGCAAATCAAATTTGCTGGTGTGGAAAGTGAAAATTACTACTTACTGGACTACGAAACAAGTACATCATATGTACGTACACATTCCTCCAATATATATAACGACTTCCCTCCCAAATAAATATGGTAGGTGTGTGTCAAGGATAGTTATACATCGCATGTTAGCCAACATACCATTATTAATTAATACAGAAACATGGCATGCATGTTCATGCATCGTTAAATAAGACAAAAATTAGCAATGTACTTACAATTGTAACTACATAATTATTGTTTATTAGTAAACAAACAACACAGAGGAACGATTTCGATTTCTCTTTAGTACATAATTGCATACAACAGGGTCGAAACATGTTCAAATGATCATAGATAAATATCATATATGTAGACAATTAAAGGTCGCTTATATACATTATATTTCTTGTTATTATGGAAATATTTGTATATGTCTGGTGATAAATACATTTGTACTTAACCATTCAGATATCATGATAAGTGGAATAGTCACCATCAGGGTGCCAATAGCTTTCCTATAGGTTTACTGTACAACTTGAACAGAACTTAGGCGAAGACTTATTATGAACTTGAATTTCATCATGCTTGTTTAGAATAATACTATTTGAAATGGTTGTCTATGCTTGTCAATGTGGAAATATAATTGTATATAAAATGAAGGTAAAATTGATGTGTGAAATCAAATATTTTTTAAGATTTTTATGTTACCATAATTTGACAAAACCACTGATGTCGGGTACAAAATTCAGTACATATCTTACAAAAATATTCAATGTGAGTGATCATATACTTGTAGCTACCCTAACGAGATATGGCGGCGAAAGACGAACCACCTCAATCAGTTCGAACTTTTCACACAGATATGGTGAAAAAATTAGACGAATTATTTCCTGTTGAGCAAGGGTCATGGACAAAGACTCGTAACGAGGTGCAAATGAAGGATCTCCTCACTGCTTCAGACTTAGGAAAAGTCACAAATATGCTTGAACTCTTCATTAAATTGATGGAGAAAGGAAAGATTAAGTACGGGAGGTACACAACAATTTGTGATATTCTTAAATACTACAACGCTGATGCTGGGGAAATAATTGAACGCTATACAGGACTTATAAAAGAAGCCTTGAATACAGGTATGTATGCACTGTTTACCATAATGTTAAGATTTAAATAAAGCATCAAGGAAAGAAGAGAACAAAATGTCATTAAATGAACTCGAAACATTTCCTATTGCATAACAATGTATGCATGTCTGGTCTGAATTCAAATTTTACATCTATCAAATATTGAGGTTTTAGTATCGTAAAATCAGTTTTCTTAAAACACGAACAGACATAAATACGATAAACGCTTGCCTAATATTTTAACGGGCTTTTCACAATCGGATATGCTTTAGAAATACGACAATAAACCTTTTTGTCACTGTATGATCTTCTCCTGCTCCCCCTCCCAGGGTACCGATGACGAAATAGACAGTGCTATTGACAGATTTTTTTTATCTTATATTTGTTTATCTTTTTATATCTTTTACTTTTGTTTAAAAGAAAATTTGATACAATAGGCTTTCTTCTATTATTTGTTATTAGTTGACTTTATCTTTTCACCTTTATCAATGTCATTGTCATCCCGTAGATAAACTATGCATTTGTTATTTCCCGTGTCTATGATTGAGTCCTTTATTCTGTAGAGTTTCACTGCGTGTTAAATTGAACTTTTTTTTAGGACAGGTGATTTCAAAACCTTGACATGTTTGATCCCTGTGGTCTTGCAATTTTATTAAGGTTAATTAAAGATATTTAAAAACAAGTCTTATTCCTAGCATTTAACATTGCAAAATCATCAGCCTGGTCGTTTGATTATTCAAAACCTTAAATATGTGTGAAGGTCGTTTAATACTAGAATAAGATTGTTGAATATTAATGCCTTGTTGGGTAAAAAAATTAATACAAAAGAGCTTTTATATTGCAAAAAAGAATTAAAATTGTTATGACCTTTACTTTTGTAAAATGAAAGACAATGTCATTTATTGTGACAAAATTCAAACCCTTCATACAAGCATGCCACTGTCCTTAACTAATCATCGTCAGAAGGAGTGGTTTGAATAGTTTAACACATTTGAACCATGTGACCTTAAGAGAAGGTTAAGGTAATTTACTGAAATATATCATTAGACAATCATCCCAGCATGTGACAGAACAAAATACCATGACTCATGACTTTGTATAGCTTTTTTAAAGTAATTTTTTAAGTGTCAAAATAGAACATTCGAAATTTGACCCCTCACGAAAACCAAAAATGTTGTCTTGAGCCAATATGTGAGTTCGCATTCTTCATCTTTAAACATTTGACATTTGTGACCTAGACACTAAGTCAAGGTCATTCATTTTTAACAAACGTACCAATTAATCAAATTAGAATGTTTAAAGTCATATAAAAGGAACTATCTATATATATATATTCTTTATTAATTTGCCATCCGAAATAACACATTTAAACTTTGCCCACCCCCGTAACCCCCACCCCAAAAAACCCCAACAAAACAGTGTTTCCAGAGGAAAGTGAGTACAGTTTTGATTAAAAACAGATTAAAGGCAATATCTAGAATTTTGATATTGCGGCAATACTGTGTTTTTTTTACAAACTAAAAGGTTTAAGTGTATATAACTTTACGAGCAATCGAATTTGACACCTATGCAGATCACACAGTAGTGACACTGTGTTTTAAATATCGAACGTTCTTTGAAAGAGTAACCACAAGTCAAATATCTTCGTTCCTGAGAATTAGCCGCAACCTATTTTGTCTCACCTGCGACGGATGTCGCAAAGGTGAGACATAGACGTTTCTTTTCTTGCAGTTGCCTCAACCATAATATGGACCTTAGTTGCATTTTAGTTTTTTCATTGCAATCTCACATCTAATACTAAATGTAACAGCATTCCCATTTGTTGATATGTGTTTAAGGTTAAGCTATTTTAACTAAATTTCTTTTCTTGCATTTGCCTCAACCATAATATGGACCTTAGTTGCATTTTATTTTTTTATTCCACTCCCTACATATAATACTAAATATAACAGCATTCCCATTTGTTGATCTGTTTTTAAGTTTAACCTATGTCTGCAAGAGCTACTTTAACTACAGTTACAATAGGTATGCTTCATCGGTAGTGCATCTGAACACCTGCTTTGTATGCTGGACTCTGATCTAAACAAAATTTACATATTTAAAATGTAAAAAATAGTAAAACATTCTTGACTTGAACTTCGGATAAGATTTGATAAATAAAAACAGTTTATGAATGAAGTCCTTTCAACAATGTCAATCAGGAAGGGATAGAACTATAATTGTTATAAAAATCCACGAGCAAACGAAACTGATACCTATGCAGATCAGACAGTGGTGACACTGTGTCCGACGGAAGCGGACAAAAACATTGATTTGCCGTGTTGAACATTTTGTTATCAAATCCAAAATAATGCAAAGCTTTGCTTTGATCATAGCGGGCAAACGAATAAAAAACTTGTGATTATATCTATATATTTTCTGTTTAAGTAAAAACCCAGACACATCAGTGACTGTGATTCTCAATCCGTACATTTAATATTAATTGTTACAGCATTCCCTTTTGTTGATATATTTTTAAGGTTCAGCTATGTTTTTCTACAGCTACAAGAGCTACTCAAACTTCATTTGCATTAGTGATGCTTCATGTGAATACCTGATTTGTATGCTGTATTCTGATCTAAATAACAAGTTTTTGTTCTTTTTTTTTAATTTCCATTCTTTTTTCTTTGAATTTTAATTATCTATTCAGTTTTTGTTTTTGTTTAATTTTCTTTAATCGCATGCTAAATCTGTCTAACTGCTATCTTTATCACAGCCGCTGTCATCCTGTGTAGATTATATAATAAATATGTCAACTCATGTCGTCAGAACATTGAAACGGTTGAGATATTAAACCCTATCCCTAAGAAGAGCTACCATTTTTGTTTATGCAATAACTTATTCTGCGGACCCAATGAGACATCATGTTGAAAGTTTGTCATATCCTTCAAATTTGGTGATCTTAACCGTTATTCAATCACCAGGGTAGAAGATGAACATCAACACTAATGTTGGTAGCAAGAATGTACATGTCTTTTCATGTCTCCAAAGATTGCCTATCGTTATAGGGTTGTTTTTGTATGATATTACCAAGGAATTAAGTAACCAGGTGTAGGATACTACACACAGAATTGTTCATGACTAAAGCAAAAGCTTGTAACCTGTTGTTTAAATGATGTTCCAGCGTTCTCAAATTCAATCAATGATGTTATTTTTCAATAATCAAAACAATCAATAAAATATTGGTTAACAGATCGTATTATTCAGACATAAAAAAAAAATTAGAAAAAAATACATTTGAAAATCATTACATAACGTTCAATTTCACTAAACCATATGATATAACTAACATGATACATATCTCATTACACGACATCAAAATATAATGTGTGTATTTGGTATTTAATGGTCTTAATTGTTCCAAGAAAATAATGTAGCCTTCGATTTTCAGGTGTCCCTACATTGATAATCAACAACAAATTATACAGTCTGACAAAAGGAAAACCTGCTATACTGAAATGTGGTATTACAAGTACAACTGTAATCAGAAATGTGCAATGGAAAAGAAAAAGGAAAGGAGAGGTTTCATTCAGAGACATTCAAAAAGACAACAAGAACTTTTCCGGTGGATCTATCGACTCACCTTCCCTGACGATAGACATGGCTAGCGAAGAGGACAATGGGGCCATATATCTCTGCAATGCTACAAATGACGCGGGGACAGGACAGAGTGACGAGATCCATGTTACAATCACGCAACCAGAGACAGGTACTCTCATTTACAATACAGCAGACACACACCTAAATGGGGATTAACGTCTAGAGGAAACCCAAGGTGTAACCAAAAACCAATTTTAAGAAAATAAACAAAAACATTTTAGTTACTTGATAAAATGTAATTCGTCCAATTAGTAACTTGACAGTGATAACAAGTATTAAATATAATGTATTTTGACACGAACAATATAAGCATAGTCAACTACATGTAGTAGCTATACTTTGTATCAACAGGGAAGATATAGAGTTGACCTGATTGGTGTCGGCAATATTAATATGTATACAGAAAGTGCATATAAACGATTTCTTTTACATATACAAGAGTTATTATCGCGAAGGGAAACAATGTGTTGCATACTGGTGTCCGAAACCAAACGTGGATTGGAAATCATTTTATATGTGTACACTGTTGTACATAATTCGTTAATGCAGTACTGTTAATGTTTTTACGTTTAATCATTATTATCTAAGTGATCTTTGGAAACATCTCCATATACAACATGGAAAAATTGATTAAAATTGAGTAAACGTAACGCACTCAATTCCCTTTATTAAAATATGGACATATACGACTAAAATTAACAAAATGAGCGGCAAGCCGTGCAGTTCCCTCTCAATAATTAAAAAAAACATGTGACATTATGAATAAGCATATAATATCTGTGGCATAAGCTGTGTTGTATCGTTGCATCAAAAATATGGGTACGAGGGATGGGATTGTTTCCATTTTGTTCTTTTCTATGCAACCCGGTGAATTATGATTGATAACAAATGAACACATTTCATTAATTCTATAAAACATCACTTTTTTTGTACTCATCAATTTTAAGAATTTTACACAACGGAACCAGCATGTTCAAGTCTCATAAACACGAGTAATTTATCATTGAATCACAAGATCCGAATAAAATGTGCACAATATGGTCAAACATTATTTTGTTGTTCCTCGCTTTCTTCTCTTGAGTGATGCAGTTTTACTGATCGTGGGTTGCATATAATTAAATCACTCCATGACGGTGCTTATTGCGGATTAAAGCAAATTCGGGAACTAAAGTTCCACCAGGAAAGTTTCACACCTTGTACTTTGGAATATGAACGTAACGCTCTCTTTTAATCATCATGTATGCGAATATCTCGAAAGTGATCATGCTTCAACAATCTGCGGTCAAGGTCGAAGTCAAGGTCACTGCTACTATTAATTGGCTTATTTTGTCATCACTCTAGAAAGCTCATCCCTACAGAGCTTGATTAAATTTAATGATTTGGACATGCAAAAGAAGACCCTAAGAAGTTTGTGTTTCATAAGGTCAAGGTCAAAGTTGCTATCACTATTGATAGAAAGTCAAGTATAACAACAGGTTACTTACAACTTATTACAAGTGGTATGTACAAAATTATGCACACCACAACACATTAGAGGATTTGTACTATTTGTGATACCTTGTTATCATCGTAATAATTTCCCACTACTAAATTGTATATACTTATGCGTACATACCGATAAAGTACATTTGAATAATTATGCAATGAAAATATAATTCTACCGTTTTAACACCAATGCCAATGTGGTTTGTGCGCATGCACGGATGATGATTTATCATATTTGTGAAGTCTTATTTCAATAGTTGTATATGTCATTTAGTATGTATACATGTACTTGTGTTGATATGATCATATATTCTGCGGAGATGTGCATCTTAATTGACACTTATGACTTGTGAGAAGTATAGTTAAAAAAAATACTTATACAATATCATCCCTCATATTGTTCGGATTTCATCTGTCATAAACATTAAAGAAATAACGTGCATTGATTAAGGAGTGCGGCTGAGAGCTGCATGTGCAATCAATTCCTGAGTGGAAGATTATAGAGTGATGGACCCATGGACTTTAGAGTCAGAAATTCAGGGGTTGATTCGGTGCTTATTCCTCAGCTGCTTTTTATATATAGCAGCTTGTATTTTTTTTTTTTTATATCATTACACAATTTATAATCAAATTCCAAAAAACGTATATAAAGTAAAATGTTAAAATATATGATTAACGTTATCTAATTGTATATTGCATAATATCCATTTCTATCAATTACCGGATATTATTTGAATAACATGTGTTGTAATATGTGGAGAACTTAATATGGGCTTTAAGCCTGCTATTCAATCCAATCGATAACGATTATCAATAACATTTGTTGAAGTTAAGTAACACTCTTTTCGGTATTATTTTGGTTAGAAGTGTCTACTTGTTAACCTTTGTATTTGTTACCTTTAAATTCAACATGACGTCTTGCTAATAATTAATTCTATATACCAATTCTAGTTTTAAACTTAAACTTTTTTTTATTCAATCCTGACCTAGATGCAGCTGCCGGAGATGCTTTGAAAAAGACTGTTCGTGAAATGTTGGAAAATACAATGAAAGAGGCAGAAGATCAAATAAACAAGTTTGTCGAACCCCTTGGAGGGATAGAAGGTATCTTGGTAGAGCCATAATACATATTATATTATTAATGATATACATTTTTATTCTACGTTTTATTGTTTCAATCATTTTAAAATCGCATTAAATTTGAAACAAATTCCAGGGAAACCTTACACACATGATCAGTTAAGTATATTTGTGCCCCATTAGCAATCATTGTTTAACCAAACTAAGTGTACAGCATTTAACATTATTGGTTAAAACAACTATTCATGAATGTTTAACATGATTCATGAAAAGTGCAACGCAATTGACTTTACTCTGACAATTTTCTTATGATGGGGTATTTGTTAGCCTGTGATTTGTAGCATTTGATTACAAATAATTACTCATCAATTCGTGTTTGCCTGAAGTAAATTATTCTGATCTTAATACGACTGCTCCATAACTTATATAATTGTGTGTCTTTGTTGAAGACTTCAAAATAACCACGGACCGGGATACCAGGGTAATCACTGTTCAATTCATTGTAAAAAATGGCATGAAAAAGCATAAAGAATGTCTTCAGAAACAAATACAGCATATTTTAGGTTTCAAAGAGAGGACTTTCAACTTTGAAATTATCATAAGTAAGTATAATTCGTTATTCAATGCTACCAGCAATATATTGTTTTGCTTTAGATACTTGTTTTATAGTATGTGTTATATTGATGCGTTACAGAAGTGTCGTCAATGCTATATTGTGTTCGTATTGTTTTTTTAAGTAGAGAATTATCATAGGAAGTAAACTGTATAGTCAAAAATATGTACATCTATCACAAATCTTATAATATCATCTAGATACATTGATTAATGTTTTTATTTTATGTTTGTTTATCTTTTTCAAAGGTTGCATCATCGTGTCATTTGACATAACTGGTGTTACACATCCATTGGACGAATCTGCATTGGCCTTAGCAGAACGATTCAGTACAGGTCTCGAAGACGGATCTATTTTTCTGACTGATGAAACCGGAAACCCGTTACAAATACAACAGAATTCTCTGAAAATCAAAATGAAAAAGACAGCCGACGGTAAATTAATATATACATATATATATTAAAAGTTATTTTTACAGCAACTGATCGAAATGCCTACCTTAAGTATACAAACCTGAATTGTGACATACAGTGGGAATTGTGCGTTGAATATGAAAAAACTCTTCGTAGTTTATTGGTAAAATATAAGTATTATAAAGTTCTAGCAAGAATCTGTATCATTAGATCAATGTCATGTGAACATGGCCGTCCTTAAATGACCTTAGCTGTTAATAGGACGTTAAACAAAATCAAACAAACAAACAAACAAATGTCTATGTTATCAGCATATTTTTTACTGATGAGTTATATTGCTTAAATATAAAACCCAACAGATGTGTAAAACAATTGCAATAACGATTACAATGTAATATATCCAAACTGTACTAGCAATACATAACTCGTAAGATACGATTTCAAACAAGTTATGCGTTGCTAAAACACCACGTTCTGAATAGCATTATGCTAACCAAGAACACAAGAAGTGTATTGACGTTAGTATTGAGAAATAGAGAGATATTTTTTTTCAATGCAATGAATAAAAATAGATTGATTGTATACATAACCAATAACCATCTCCAATGGGAGGCACAGATTACCTAACAATAGAATTTGGATCTGACAGAAACAACCTAATTTATCTTTTTTTTTTTTATCTATTTCTATTCGGCACAGCATAAATCAAGACAATAACGCAAAACAATCGGCAAATTATCTAAATAAACGAATATTCTTATTATATAAACAACCTAGTTTTCAGAAGCATGCCATGACGAGCAGAGCACTCGATGAAAATTAGGTAACTTTCTGAAAAATAATTCATGATTCGGAGATTGATGAAATGTTGTTGTTACGCTCACCCACCACCACTGTATTCCCTCTACTTTAGACACGCACCGATAAAGCCAGTAAAAACAATGTTTTTTTACGATCACCCCCCCCCCCTTTTTTTTCGCTACGCAGACAGCACAGATTTGATCACAGTCAACTCACTTTTTAATTATTTTCATTTTAATTATGTGGTCCAATTAATATAATACAAGAAGAAAGTATGTATATTTCCATATACATTAAGTCAACATCAGATTAGTGGCATCATTGAAATACATGATATGAAATAGATGACTTATACATATTTTTGAGATTTTTTTTTTCTATGTATAATATACATAACGCCAAGCGTTACAACTTATTTTCATAACGCCAAACTTGTATCCATGCATTTGTTACTGGTATTGCTTTTAATGACAAATTAGCTCTGATAATTTAAGTATTTCCGGGAACATGACATAATCTTAATAAGACGTTCTCATCCTGACAATAAGGTCATGTGTCCTATTATTAAGACATGCTGTTTTCCTACTTTAAATATAGAGATTAACAACATACAAATATAGTGAACGTAGAGGAAAACGGAAAATCATTAAATATATTTACAAAGTATTCATATAGGATTGAATCTAGAATTTTGTTAGACAATTAATTTGCTTACACACCACATGAGCGGCCGTTGCGAAAACTCCATATTCTTTCCATATACTTCCAATTCACTATCAATGGGAAGGAAAATCAAAAACATAATTTACATCATTTATCCAGTTCGTGGAAATTAATGGATAACACGTTATATGTGTAAGTAAATTCACCTTAATTGATACATTATAATGTTGTAAACATATAGATTAATTCGTTATATCATCACTATTTTGATCACTGTGCGGACACATGTGTGACATCGAAAAACTGTCAGTTTGAGCTTTGTGATCGTCGGTTCGTCAGACGACAGAACGTATCACTGTTGGAAATATACTAAATTGTAGTTTAAAATAGTTCAATCTTAAAATTTCGAATTTAAGATTGACAATAAGACAAAGATACATAAAATAATAATAATAAACAGCGGGCGAGGTTAGTTTAGGCAATGGGAGACAACTCGAAAGACAATCAAATTGCTTTCTGAAAAATGGGGATTACAATTTTAAGAGTAGTCCCATGGAAAAAACAGGCGTTTATTCTAATATTAACAGCTGTTGTTTGTGGTCACATGCACTACTATTAACACAGAACATGTAACAGTGCACAAAATCAAATTTGGAATCATAAACAAATAGCATGGCATTTATGTAGCCTTTTACATTTCAGCTCACAAATATTTTAGATATTTTAGACTATAAATAAGCAAATGATAAATCAGCACACCATCTCGACAAAACTCTTTTTTTCTGTTATAAATTTGGCACAACACATATTTTATATCAACAATGTTTACATTCAAAACAGAAGGGTTGCATTATTTTAAGCATACGACGATTAGTTTTGATTTGCTTTTAAGATAAGGTCTTTTGATTTATTGTCTCTAAGTTCTTATCACCAAATAAAATGTTTGTCGTATTTGTTTTAACTATCATATTATAATTGTAAATACACTATTTTACAGCTGCCGTTGATGTGAGTTTGCCGATGGTAAGCATCGACCAAGCTGCATACATTGGTGCAACCGGTGAAATAGCTATCTTGAAAAGCAGGCTGCTGACGTCGACTCCTATCACCTCAGTTGCATGGTTCCGAATCGAAAACGAAGACAAAACAGAACATGTCATTGAGATTGACAACGAAAAATACTTTGGAGGTTCTATTGAGTCACCATCTTTGGTAATTGACGACATAAAAGTTGATGATGCAGGGCGTTATGTATGTCATGCTGCAAACAGATTTGGTGGCGGAAAAAGCTTCGCTACCTGCCTATGTGTTTTCAATAGTGGTATGTATGATACCGTTGCATAAGACATGATTTATCAGTGACTATAGTACATCATATACGATTGATANCGACCATCAACACCCCCCACCCCCACCACCACCACCACCAAAAAAAGGAGAAAGAAACATATTTGATATGTAAATGATATCTAACAGTGTTTCAGTGATACCGAATGTGGCTCATATTTTCATATATTTCACGAGTGCGCAGAAAAGTAACATCATAGCCACACGAGTGAAACAAATGTGGGTTTGCTGAAGACACAGTTAGATATTATGTTACTTACATTTTTAATCAACAAAAATCCTTCCAAGAATGCAAAGTGATATATCAAGCTGGCAATACCTGATTCGGATCCTTTATCGCTAGCGTGTCTAGACATTCTTCAAAACGTATGTTAGTTTGGGGGGGGGGGGGGGGAAGCACTTATTGTGAAATTCCCTAAATTACTTATTTTAAGGAGTATGCATTAAGTTAAGATTTCAATGAAGCTATGAAATAATCACTGTCACTGTCAGAAATAACCATGATAACTTATTTTTTCTGCTAATACCAAGACCTGGTGGGACTTGAGACGCTCCAACGCATTTCGTTTGACTTCAGTTTCCTCAGATCAAATATTTCGAATTGCTAGCATACATAGTAGTGCTCGCTTCAATGAAAAGAAAATTGTGAAATTAAAATTTCTTCCGGGATATAGTCATCCATGATTGGTACAGATATGTGTTCCATCATCAGGATAATCCATTTTTGTTGTTGTAGAAGTTTCAATTAGTGAAAATTCACTTGTATAGAAAAATCTAATTTTCAATGCTTCACTAGGAAAAAAATCGATACACATATAGATGTTATTTTGTTGTTTTTGTTAAACTAAATATGTTAAGGTAATATATTTATGCACATTGCATATATTGTCATATCAATTGTTGTTTTCTTTTATTTGTTTTCTTATATTGCCTCTACTGACTATCAAAATTATTTGCTACTTTTAGAAATAGTTGTAACGCGAAATGTTTTACACGAACTGTCAACGCATAGTGTCAATCATATTAATCCTATTCATACATTGAACTCTCTTGAGAACACTGGTATTTGTTTTATATCAGAAAACAGTGAAACCGGTTTCGCGGCGATACAAGCTGAAACGTCACTAAAAGACAGCCAGTCAGAAGTTAGTTCCGAAAAAACAAGCGACGACGATTCGGTGACACAAACATTTACTGAAAATGAGTCTCATGTAAGTAATTATAATAATAATATACAACATTTATATAGCGCCCTATATAATTTGTAAAATTACTCAAAGGCGCTTTACAACATATGGATAATATTAATGGTTATAATTATGAAAACAAACAACAAAGGCTTGCAATAACTTTGATACATTTAACAAGCAATGTGCACATAATTGAACAAATAAAAGGGTGGTATTTACATGACGTCTTTGCAAAGATTCTAAAATGCAGACGTGAGGAGGTAAGTTTTTATGTCCCTCTTGAACTTGGCCAGGGTATTTGACTTCCTAACAGCAGATGGTAAGCTTTCTACAACGTAGCCGAAACCCTCCCAAAGCATCTGTTTCCGTAGGAGATTTTGGGACACACAACAAAGAGTCTGACTCCGACCGCAGTGATCTTGGCGGCTATTATACTCAATGTATATGTACCACAATACATACAAGAAGAGATTAATGATTATATATCTGATTTGACATTGTTAATAACTTTATAATACAAACTTGTTAAGGACATTATTTTTCGACAGGACCGACTACATGTACATGTTGGTCTGAACATGTCTTTTTATAGGTTTTATGACAATAAACAGACTATACATTTAAAATGTATTATAAATGTGTCAAAACAATCTGTGAACCCCTGAGCGAATCTAACGTTTTCTTAACGTGCACACGATTTAATATCAGGTCCTACGATACTGCAATTTTGGGCGCTGGCTTCAGGATGTGAATCTCTTAAAAGCCAAAACCTTCCTGGATTAAACTTCTTATCTTATATGTATTTTTGGAAAATGGAGTTAAAGGGGCTTGTCGGGGAAAAAAATACTAAATAAATGGGTCTAAATGCGTTCTCTGACCTTCCAAAAGTTATACCACGGCAATATGATGGTAGAGTTCTGCTTGCAATGTCCAGTTTTGACCACTTAAATCTCGGGGAAGCCCCGCGTAAACTTAGCGCAGATCCATTTATATATGTCACGTGGATGTTTCGAAAGTGAGGCAGTGAAGATAACAACAATAGCACGTCGTCATGTGCCATGTCGGACTCAACTAGCGGACAAGACAGCAACACTATACGTAAATAATTGTTTTCAAAGGTCATGTATGATGCAAGTGTAGTATTCCTACCTATATGTTGTTGTTATATATAACGGAATTGATACCTCGTGCCTGTCATGACTTTTGCACGCATCTTTTTCTTTCGCCGCGATGTTTACATTTGGTCTTGTTGATGACGCACGTGCGGTAAAATTACATCCCTGATCTGGGTCAATTAAGAGTTTTAGACTGTCAGGTGACGATTTAGGATTTCTTTAATATAATTATAATTTTTACTCTTAGGGAGTGCATTTCAGCAAAATTTGAATCGGTATATTTCATAAGAAGATACTTTAAACATGTGTATGTCATTTTAGCAAATATGACATTTTTTCCCCGACCAGCCCCTTTAATGGGATAGTAGAAAATGAAAACAATATATGTCCTTCTGTTCGTTTTTGTGCTTTGATCGGTCAAAGATACCAATTTGACATAATACTTAAAGTATGTGATTTTATGTGATTGTTTGGTTTTTTACCAGTTGCAGGACAAATTCCTACACAATCTTCTAAGTATGATTTAAGATATGTATGAGTGTTTGCAGAATTTACAAAAGTGTATGTTCTTTGTAATTATCAAATATATTTCTTAAACTTATTCTGTTAACCCAAACGAGCAATTTAAGTAATCCCCTTCCCCTTATTTTTAACAGCAAAAGACTCATGTTTTTGCAGATTAAACGCTTGATATAAAACGTTGTGTTATCATGTTTTTTTGAATATTCAATAAATCAAAAGAAAATAGGTCTCTCTTTTTTAAACAGCCATAACGATTGAGAGATTAATATAATAATTATTTGACATATTTTTTACCATGTAGGGGTCAAAAAACAAAAGTGCTTCAGTTAAACTAATATGCGGATAAAATACCAAGAAATGTATAATTTCAACTTTGTTGCATAATACTTTCATCATATTGAACATTTTACAGTTGTACAGCGAACATAATCTTGAAAGAATACAAAAATCGCGACACAATGTTGATTTAAGTGAACAATCTAATTACACACTTTTTTAAATGCACACTTTCAAAATGGCCGGCGAATTTGTCATTGTTTTTAATTTCTGTAAAAACAGGATTCTAATTTGTTGACACATTTTTCGGATAGTTGTTTGGTATTAAATCTGATCATAGTTTGTTATATATTACAAACAAAGCCTTAAACGAGATCAAAACGAGACTTGAACGTTATTGAGATCTCAGAATAGTACATCCTTAAAGCACTTTACAGAGAAATGGTCTACAGGATAATATTCAGCATATATCTAAAATAATAAGTTATGTATCAAAATAAAGGTGACTGAATGTACCATTTTTTTCCCCAAATGACGTTATTACACTTACTTTAAAAACATTGACGTTAACAAAATGCTTGAAGTTCATTGACGCAAACCTCAATGTTAGATTCACGATAGATGATATATATATATATTTTTGTTTTTGTTTTTTTACAAATATTCTATTTCCCCAGCCATTTTGTTCATATATATGTATACACATATACTGCTTCGAAGCCGATATATATATACATATATAAATATTTTGATAAGGGATGCCAGGGCTGGGGAGCCCTGGAGTCAGCCCCTTAACAATATGGTGTCCTCACGCAGGATGGTTCTCATTCATAGATGATATATTTATTCTTATAAACCATAGAGCATACTTAAACACTTTTATTTTTGCAACCAAAAATGCAAATAAATTATCCTTATTTAAAAATGTTGCTAAAATTTCTGCATTTTGTTTCTGAAAAGCTATGCGAAATATGACACAATGAAATGCATATTAAAATGTTTAAGTTATACGTATTACCATGACGACCGTGTAAATAAAAAATAATATGTTCACATTTATATTCGTAGCACATACAATTGAAAGAAAAACTCGAGTTTTAAGGTTTTATTGATGGTTTTGACTTTTGGTTGATTCCATTTACCTTTATTTGAATCACAAGGGAACTCAATGGTATTTTAACACAGGTAACTATGAAGAAGAGCGGGCATGAACTCGTAGGAAAATATACTATTACAATTTGCCATATGGATGACAATTTTATTATCATCATTAGTGTTTCTTGTGGTTTTGCTGTCACTGACCTTAATGACCTAAACAACTATCTATTTAAACTGTTCTTTACGCACGTAAACATAAATATATTGTGTTTTGAGATAGTCAAAATATTTGTTGTCAAATTGTAATATTGGCTATCCAGTTTGTCCCAAAACCAACTAGAGAAAGCATGAGTGTTAATAAAACTGTGGTTTGCAGCCAAACCCATAAAGCTAGATGAATAACAATGAATACAAGTATACCCTCGAACAAGTGCTAAGAAATTCTGAAAGGATAACCGTAATGTTACATTTTTATACATATGAAACATCATAAACACAGACCTTTTCCCCGTCCAACACGATTCAGTTCCATTTGTCAAATATGCATATGGGTTACAATAAGGATTGGTTGATACCTTAAGTCTGTCTGATACGTTGTATATTGTTTATGATAAAGCAAATGCATGTGATAAAGACTACATCAGAAATCTATTTATTCGAAGTTTATGTTGTGGTATTATATCATTTAACATACAACATGTATGGCTAGGTTTAACACATTAGACGAGGAACCCGTTAGCTGGCACTTTGAAGCGACGTGTCTTTCTATCGTGGGTCAGATAAGGAGGACATACAAAAACCCCTTAAATATAATCTCTATTTCTTCCGTTTCGATACATGAATTTCCACCCTATTACTTATATCATGCATAGGGGAAAAATGTATTCTTAGTTTTATTTTTTGTATAGATATACATTCGCGTTTTGTCATCATCATATGATATAAAATTAAGGTTAGTGTAGAGACCACCCGAAGATTAAGGTGGGCAAAGTTGGCAAAGTTACCAAAATAATAAATGGCATATTTTATGTCAAAACGGCATGATCTTATTATATATTTTCTTCCCAGTTGCGACGTATTGTGTAACATTTAACAGTTGCAAATAAACTGTTGTATATCGACTTAATCATGTAAACGATCATCTCTATAGGTTAGCAGTAACTTAACCAAATCTCAAGATATAGGGTTCGAAGTGAGCAGGATGGGGAGCTTCAATCAAAACTGGTGTGTATCAAAATAGAATCAAAAATGAATATAGTGAAATTACATTTATAGTATGTTTCTGGTCCCATACTGCAAGTATGATTTCGTTAGCATTAAAAATAAACTTTTCATACTTCAGTGTATCTCGCAATTTCGGTTATCTGTAATATAAGACAAGTGAATCAGCTCTCTTTCTGCTTCAGGACAAGTTTTTAACATCAGCTGTAGCCGGTGGTCATACTAATACAGAGAAACTACTGTTGGAAAAGGGAAGAGACCATTACGATGTAAGTTTTAAAAAAAAAGTCGAGTACATATAAAACGTCTTTTACAAGAGACCGTTTAATTTATATGGGAAAACAGCTTGAAGCAGAACGCAATTAAGTTATAAATACGTTAAATGACACGATTATAATTTCGTTCATAGTCCAGTTGATACAATTGCTTCTGGTAGTGACTTATAGTGAAAGTACACAAATATTTGTAGTTCAATTAGTACATTGTCAGGAATTTCTGTATCGCCCAAGTCACAATTCAAAAATATATGAATAAATATTTTTCAAATAATTTATTTTGAACTTTTCCCTCATAAATATACATGTAAATGCACAGTTGTGCTTACAACGGTGTTTACAGTTAGGTGAGTTTGGTATCATTGCAGTGTTGAATTTGACATACAAAAACACTCACTAGACCTCTTCAGCTTGTCCTTTAAAACCAATGATAGTGCCAGTGTTCCTGGTATCGCCAACATTTACAAATCGCACGGTATAGCTCTCTCTCTCTCTTAAAACTGAGTGATAACTATCAGTGATACTCGGGGTACAAATGATGTTAGCCCAGCATCAATGTGGTCATTGGCTTTTGTTCTACTCGGTTTACAAATATCATGTATAGATAGGTATCATTATTGAAAAGAAGGGTTTACTGTTACTTGTTATACATGTACATTAATTGCAGCAGTGTTTAGCATACCAAACGATTCGTTGAACAAAAAGCAGGAACATAATTAAATAAACGTAACGACAACATACCTCACAAGACGAGTATACTGGGCACACCATAAAGGCCGGGCGTTCGGAATTGATCAAGGCACGTACTTTTGTCTTTGCCTATCAAGGTCGTCCATACGCTTTTTTGTATTTTTTGTACAACTCGGATGTGAGTATAAGGGTGCAAAACATAGATGGAAAACTTCACCCCATGCTTATTATAGACTCGTGTTTTCCACTGCTTGTCCCGATGAGATAACATCACTGTATACGTTGATGTGTAAAACAAAAATATAAAGACGATATTTCCATCATATGATAAATAATAGATGATCAATTTCCATATCAAAATGTGCCATAGAGGTCAAATACACGTCCTGTGCGTTATACATTACATATATCATGTAAGTTGGTTTACTTCTTTTCATATTTGTAGGTACCATTTCAAGGATTGGCTGCGGAAGACAACCCACCTTCAGAAGTTCTTAAAATACACTCCGAAACGGTGGAGAAATTAGGTAAATTATTTTCGATAAAAGATCGTCAATGGCGTATCATTTGTGAACAGGTTAAAATGAAGGCTCTCCTGTCTGATTCTGACCTAAGAGATGGTACAAACATGAAGGGACTATTCATAGCATTAATGAAGAGAAATAAGATTGATTACGGAGAATACAACCAAATTCGTGAAATTATTGGTGACCAAGACGTTGTTGCTACAAAATGAAAGTGATGCGGTATTTTAATTAACGAAATTTAGTGATCAAACTGAAAAAAATAATGTTTCATTTTTTTCCTTCTTTTCATTTGTGCTTACTAATTATACAATATTGCAAACTAATCTTTGCTTACACGGATGATAGCTTTACTGGGTGGTGGTTAAATAATGAATTTCAAAATTATTGTTGTATTGTTAAGTTCAAGTTTGATTCAACTGGATTCACTATTGCATAAAATAGATTTAGTCAAGTTCGTGTTCCACATTCCCTTTGCTAATAATTATTTAATAACATATATTTGAATGTGTAATTAAGCATTGAATAATTTAGCAAATGTTGTGGAAGGGCTTTATGTAAGTTAGTCAACAATAGAAATGTGTGTTATAGGATAAAATAATAGTTATGTTTTATTGAGTTATTTCGAGCAGCTCTGTGAACGACAAATTAAGTATTGACAACAATTAATTGAAGACGACGCAAAAGATTGATGACGTCACAAAAGCTTATGTTGTTGTTGTCTAATGAAACCTAGGAGACTGTTTCATTTTTATCCTAATGAGAGAACACCATAACAATTTTGTCGTATACAAATGATACATTTAAATGCATGATTAATCGATCTGAAAGTGAGGTGATGTTTGTAATTTACTAAATTCAATGTTGAAACTGGAAAAAAATCCTGTTTAATTTTAGAATTATTTTTCGATACCATCAGCTCTTTTCATGTTTAATTACTGGTAATAAAATATCGCAAATAAATTTGTGTTTACTTGGACGATAGCTCTATCTCTATGTCTAGCTTCAGGTTCTAAACGACTTGTCAAGATTGCTATTAAAAAATGATCGCAACTTAACTATTACTTAAGCCAAAAACAAAATAAAATATCATGGGATTCAAAATAATAACGGTCATATATCATAATCAATATAATAAAGATATCAGAAAACAGTAAGGTAGAGGATGTTTTTGCTTTTGTGGATGAGCGTTGGTTTTTTCGTATTTTTTTTTGAAATTAGACTTTATTTATTGTTAGGTTTAAGTTTGAATTAACAGGATCCACTATTGTATAAATTAACTGTAGTGCACTTAGTGTTCCAATTCCCTTTGATAATACAAATGAATGAGTTTCATTTGAACATGTTAACGCTTTTGTTTTTTGATATTTCAGATTTGTTTAAATGTATAGTTTGTAATAGCGTTTCTTAGAAATGTAAACATTTATAAAGCAACATGTTAAAGTTAAACTTCTTGTGATAACTGCGTATCTTACATAACGGCCCCTTGGACATAGAGGGTACATCTGCTTACACTAGTTATGTGCGTGTTTTTTTTAAACTTGTAAGAAAGCAAGTTAGGTCCCTTGAACCTCGATCTTGATATGAACTTTGATGCTTCCTGTATATTTCATAATTGCGTTTTATCAAAGCAATATAACGTCATCTTTAACAAATTACTAATGTGAATTTTGTATATGTACTTATTTTGATGACATAGTATTGTTATATATCAGTGCCTTATACATTTAATGAGGACTCATTTAAATCGTACTATCAATTTATATATGTAAATTTTAATTATTCATAGGTTCTTTAAATTGAAGATATCGCTTACAAACACATTTTATTTAATAATAACGGCCATAGAGGCCAATTAATAAATTAAATAATCCAATTAAATAACGTGTCATCTTATTCTCGTCACTTGCTATTATTTTTTTAATTTAATGTGATGTTTATAAGAAATAATGTCCATCATACCGACCAAACGAAGTAAATGCTTGTATATGTTTTGTTAGGAAAACGCAAAATTAGCCGTGATTCTGATTCTGAAACTGAAAATGAAGGACGAGAATCGCCACAAAGGAAAGGTAAGTGTCAATATTGTGTTTAAGTATTGACTATTTCATCTTTAATTTATTACAAGTAAAAGTCAAAAGCGTTTTGATTTCAATCAAATATTACGACCTTAATGCTTTTTTACCGATTTGAATAAATATTGAGTATACTTTACATAGGTGGTGTTGATGTTTTATCAATAGGATAGCGGTGACACAACAACTCCCCCATTTCCCACCATTTGTGATTCGATGCATCAAGGTATCAAAAGCGAAAAGCGATCTGAGTTGATCAAACAGTTTTTTAAACAATTTAATTTTGATGGTAATTTGGCATACCTTATTACATATATGACCTAAATACCTAAGTAAATTAAATACAACATGATTGCACAAACACAATCATGCTACTATGGCTCGCCATTTGGTCTAGCCGCGCTCTTTATAAATTATTCCGCGGGTCATACAATTGAAACTGTTAAGATCTCAACCATGTAAATATAATGGGTGTAACACTCCTCCTTTATAACATAGATGGTTCCTCGGCCAAAATAGAACTTCGTGTCACGCAATGAATCTTAATCGTTTCCCTTAAATAACACTTATGCATAAATTCCGAATGGAGGAGTTAAACCTCATAGCTAATCCTGGCAGCACGAATATCTGTCTTTTCATGTCTCGCTATTGAATAGTTGATATATGATTGGTATCTTTACACTTTCTATGCAGTTAGGTATAGAGCAACACATACAGATTAGTACACATCAATGTGCAATATAGTATCTGGTATATATCTATCCACCGGATGCGTAACACTGCCGCATGTATACAAAAGACACAATTATATAGGTATTAGTTGACTAAATGTTGTCTTAAAGTGGAAATAGTCAATGTAAGATGTTTCACAATATGCACAACTCTCAACAAAATGTCAGATTGAAAATGATAACGTTAAGCTACTGTCTGGAAAAAAAATCAAATCTCAAAAAAAATGTAAAATTGTATTGAAAAATACGACATAGCGTACAACCAGATACGCATGATATAACGAGCATGATAAACTACATATTAGACAAACCACAATCTAAGGTTGTTTTGAATCTGTCAAGTATGTCCGCACATAAACAAATATATCACTTTTCTGGACAAGTTGGTCAGAAGTGAGAAAAAATTAACACATATGTCGGTTGCATGGATACATATCACAGTATCTTTAAAAATACGTTATCAATTTAGCATGAATGAAACTGATTTAAGAAAATGGGGTTTGGTTTGGTTATATTTAGTTTGACGCCCTATTAATAGCTAAGATTTTGTAAGGACGTTACTCCATGTGTGTTGTGTCAGCGTGTAATGTATGTATGTGTGCTATACACATGGTATGTTGGTGTATTTGCCCCCTTGTGATAGCGCGGATATGATACCGTCTTTATAGTGATATCTCACTGAAATACTATACCGAAGGCTCCCAGCACAGCATTCCGCCATATGAGACAGTTATTTCCATTAATCCAAATGCTGAACGTTAAGCAGGGAATAACAACTACCATTTTTAACGACAATGGTATGTCCTAGCCTGGAGACAGAACCAATAGCTGTCCTCGCCTCGGCGAACGCTCGACATTACCGCCAGCAGTGAGGTATTGCCAAGCAAGGTGCTAGGAAATAAAAGTAGAAAGAAGATAAAGATCCAAAATGTTGCAATGGGTGTAGCAGATTGTTTTTGGTGGTTTTTGTGTCCCCAAGTGACCCCGACCTGCAGGGGTTCAGAAAATGGAAGATTTGTCACAGAAAACATGGATTTATTTCGAAAGGAGAACCGTGAAATGTGTTCTATGATGATGCATATCAAAGGTTAAAAATCCTCTTACCCAATTAAGAAGACCAATCATAGTCGCTCTCAAACTACATCAGTCTACATTTTATACTTTGAAACGTTTGACGACCATGACTGGGTTTTAAATTAGTTGTTTTGTGTCAATTGTATTCGAACTAATTGTATTCGTTTCCCATATCTGTATAATAAACATCACAAGAGGATACACCAAACTAGCTTGAAGACTTCGACTCTCTACAACTGTTCGTATGGATAGTCACAAACTTAGTCAAAAAATAATCTGAAAGTCAACAAAGGTTTAGACAACTTTTAAATCGATAAAATCCTACACTACAAGTTCTTTTAAGTTGAAATATCACTGGGCTTTAGAAACAGTAGCTCCCAGTTGTTTCAAACTAAAAAATGCAACATTTAGTTTAAGTGATTCTACGACAACCCCAACATCAGGATGTTCCTCTTATTTTACACCGACAAATTATAATGTTCAAGCTGCAAACGTGGTAAACGGCGATTTAAGTCCAGAAGTGAATTCGCTTTCAGAGTTTGGTAAATCTATCAGGTTAACCATTCAAGAATGATAGCAGTGTAAAACCTAATAATAGAGACAAAAAAACTCCTGGTGGTCGGGTGGCGCAGTAAAACGCTCACTTGCCTTTCACCAAGGCGACCGTGGTTCGATTCCCCGATCAAACGTGAAAAGGTTTGGGGTCACCTGCCCAACTACGTGGGGTTTCTCCGGGTACTCCAGTTTCCATCCGCACTAAGATCCCGCGCTCTAACATCCAGGCCGACAAGAGTAGTTAATATAAGTTGAAATAACTTGTTTCATAATTGTTGTAAAAAAAATAAAGTTTATTATAAAAAAAAACGCTAGTTCGCAGTTCTTGACCCCAAAATACTAGCTTATTATGTCATGTATTTCCTCATATTGAAATATGGATATGGAGATTCCACGTTTGTGTTGAATTTTAAAACTATGCAACCTATGCTATTGTCTAAACTTCTAACTTCCAATTTTGATAGTGGTCAATCATGCGTGTAGTTGTTGTGTGATATTAAATGTAATGAATGGTAATGTATGTGAATTAAAACAAAACCTTTAAAAGACCATTTGAATAATGATGCAGGTTGATGAACATGTTTTATGGACATCATGATCTCATAAGGAAAACATTTTCTGAGAAATGAGGTTGACGTTTTCATTATACTCTTAAGTATTAACGGAAGTTTAGTTGGTACTATCTCCTTATGTATTTTCAATGTGGTACGTATCATAATTAAGCGTTCACTATGGAGTATCGATGAATACAATTCATAAACATGTAACTGAACATTC